AGAATTTCCCAAAAGGACACAGACAAGAATACCACCTTACTACATACTACAAATTACATTTCCGGATATAATACACAAGCTTTTCGTCGCTAAACATTTAGATTTACTTAAAATACATCCCAATTGGTTGTTGTTAATTTCCATGTGACAACAATAGTATTATTTTTAAATAATTATTTATAAATATATTAAATAGTATAAATTAATAAAATATAATATAAATAAATATTAAATTGTGTTATTTTTAAATAATAAATATTTATTAATTAAATAAATATAAATTAATAAATATTTTTATATTAATATGTAATATAAAATATTTAAATAATAAATATTTATTTATTAATATAATAAATAAAAAATAACATTATATTTAAAAATAATACTATTTAATATATTTATTTATTAATATAATAAATATAAAATAACATTATATTATTGAATATATTTATTAATTTATATTTATTTAATTAATTAATATTTGTTTATTTAATATATATTTAATATTTGAATAAATAAATATATCAAATAACGTATAAATAAATATATTAAATAATAATTTTTTTATTTTAACATATATATATAAATATTAAAAAATATATTAATATTTAAATAAATAAATATATTATATAATATATTTAATATATATATATAATAGTAGAATAACTAAATATTTAATATATATATATATATATATATATTAACTTAGTAACTAAATATATAATAAACTGTTCTTTAAATATATATAAGTGAAGTCACAAAATTTGCATAAATTGTGGTAGGTGAAGTGGCTTTTAAGGCCACTTGAATACTCCTTGGTCTGGGTTCGAACCCTAGTATCTACATTTTTTTGTAAATATGTTACATATTTTGCCAAGTCAGCTAAATCAGCAAAAAAAAAAAAAAAAAAATCGTGTAAAATTCCACGTAGGCAAGCCGGTAAAAGTGACCTGTTTTTGCCGGTAATAGGACTAAATCTCAGGTTTGTTGAGACTTACAGGACATTTTCTAAAAATTGGTCAGTTAAAGGACTAAACCTCAAATCGACGCCACTTAAAGGACTAGATCTCTAAGTTTTCCCAAGTCGGACTAGCTATTGTCGCACAGATTGGGGATAATTGTGTGAGTTGGGTGAAAAATGATATACTTAACATTTTTTTTTTTAATATATATCCTCCTTATATATAATTCCCGAATGCGCTGAGCCTACGTGGCTGCTTCTGGTGCTTCGTAATCCTATTTGGCAAAGAATCATGCTTCGTAATTAAGTTTGGACAAATAATATTAATATATTAATAATTAATAATCTAGGTTCAGGTATTCCATAAATATCATTTAGCTAACTTAGGTATTTTAATATCACTTTTACTAATATAACCCTTTAATTCTTTGTAATTTTACATAGTGAGGCACTAAGTGACTAATATATCCCTAAATTTTGATTTGCTTCTTTCAATAAGCTATTGAATTATAAATGAATTTTAAAAGTAGATAACTTTTGTATTTCTTATCGGTTTTACATATATAATATATCAAATTAATCATATTTTGATGATCTTCGATTTGACATCCATATTGTATATATAAAATAAATAAATTATATTTATCTTTATAATAATAAAAAATAATAATATTTATTAAAATTCATTAGAAAAATAAAATTATTTCCCAATTGATATATTTATATTTAATGTAGTTATATATTGTAAGTTAAAAAATTAGTATAATATAACACAAGTAAGTCGCACAAATAAAAAATATCATAATAAATATATAATAATATATATATTCTTATAAAAGGTATTTAAATTTTCAACTACTTTTTCTCATTAGTTTTAAATTTTAAGAAAAAAATTAGCAAACACCCGTGTAATACACAGGTGTTGTATTAATATACACTAAAATTAAAAAAAATTTGGGGGGACAATGCCCCCTATAACACACAGAAATCCGCCCATGTATGTATGTGTACGTTTAATCAAACTAGTATAGAGCCCGTGCGATGCACGAGGTGCACTATTTTAAGGTTATTTATCCAGCCTTATAATTATATAAATGAATAAAAAAATATACGGGATATATATAGTACGGGACCGTGCAAGACACGGGATATATTTATTTAGAGAATATTATATTATAAAATGCAATATTCAATAAAAGTTTTATAGTACGCAGGAAAATTATACAATAAAATAGTATCTGACAAAAAAATTATATATTATTAAAGACCTCATAAAAAAAATCATATATTATAGTACGCAGTAAAATTAAGGAACTTTAAACAGCATAATTTTTTTAACAAAATTATTTTAGGGAACTTTAAACAGCATATTTACGTCACTCATAAAACAAATTATATTTCAACATCAAAGTTATAGTATTATTTAAGTAACTTGAAACAGCATTGTTAAATATATACGTCCACCCATAAATTTTTACAAGTCGAAGGTAATTAATCCCATTTCTTGTTTATTTGTTTGTTTGTTCAATTTTTTTGAAAAAACTGATATCATGGATAAAAAAATTTAATATTAAATAAATTAATTAAATAATATAAAATAATATGCTTTAGACAGATATAGGATGCGGATAATCCTCTCATACCAAACAACACGATTTTAAAATTGACTCAGATCCAGCAATCCTATCCAATATTTCATATAAATAAATATTAAATAAAATGCTTTAAACAGAAATTAGATAAGGAATTTTGAATCTGCCTTTTTTTTAGTATAAATAGACTTTACGTACATTTATTGACTTCACCGATTATGGGATTTATTTTGACTAAATCGATGTTATTATGGAATAAGACAAATAAATAAAGTCTATTTTATTTTAGTAAAGATTTTACGTACTTTTTTTTGACTTATCGGATGTTATGGAATTTTTTTTTCTTAAGCCAGTTTTTATTTTAGTAAAATTTTTAAAGAATAATTAATATAATTCTATTATCTAACCATCAATAAAATCATTTAATGATGTGATCATTATCTTTTAAACGATAAATAATATAATTTTTTAAAAAAATATTAGTTTTATATAATTAAATAAAGGTTAAAAAATAATACTCGACAAATATTAATTATAATGGATATCAGTAAAATCATTGCATTTATTATTTAAGGAAAAAATCTTTAAGATCATATCTGGATAATAAATGTAAATATGCAAGCATTTAATGCATATAGTAAAAAATTTCCAAATAAGGTATGCATTAAATGTGTGTTGACTTTTCTTGCTACTATTTTTGGTAAATAGGTTGGCTTTTAATATATATATATATAGATGGTTTATTAGACGACTGTAGGAGATCAAAAGCTCCCCCTTTTAACTTATCATGAACAAACTTCGAGACTCGAGTTGGATCTTCTCAAATTTATTTGCACGGGTAAAAGATAATCACTAATATTTAAATTTTGTATAATTAATTAAATCAATTTAGAAAGAATTTTTCAAATTTTTGCAAAAAATATTACCAATATAGTAAATACTTTAGACACGAAATCAAATGATTTTTTTTTACTGATTTTTAGTTATTATTTCAAGTAAATATCATCGTCTAGTTATTATTTCAAGTAAATATCATCGTCTCTTTATATATTAATAGATATTCTAACTTACTAGAAATTGTCAGACGACTCAAGCGAGTTTTGAACGAACAACACGAGTTAAATTTCTGAGTAGTTAGTAGAGATGCAGTCAACGGGCCAAGGCCCGGCCCGGCCCACTGATCCACAGGCCCTCCAACACACGGCCCGCTAAGGGCCGGTTCATAAAACCGGCCCGAACCGCCAGTTCACCGACCCAGCGGTTCACGGGCCGGGACGGCCATTAAATAAAACAAGAAAATTTAACAATGTAGCCCACCGTCCGACCCAGCCCGGCCCGGACCGGCGGGACCAAAATACAAAAAAATGGACCGGTACCGGCCATTAGGAGGCCGGGCCGGTGCCGGTTCGCGGGCCGAACATGTCTAGTAGTTAGGTTTAATTTTCAGCTAAACTTTTACCTTTAAAAATAATGGATTGAGAATAAAAACATCTACTATATAAATGAGAAGGGATTGAGAAACCGTAAATTGGGTTATTAACACCATGGTAAATAAAATAAGAACTATATATAATAACTAAAAAGTTGAGTGAATAATAGGTGGGTTGAATAAAAGGGACAGCAAGTGATCTATTTATAAAATCAAGCTAAATCAAGTTGAACCAGAACCATGGTTCGGCCGTTATGCAAGTCATAACTTTCATCACAATCCTTTATTCATTCAAGAAACTGAAACAACTATTCCAGCTTAAGAAAATCTTCTCAGGTACGCGTTATTAGTAGAACTTTGTCCAGAAACAACTATTTCAACCTAAGTACTACAGAAAAGAGCGTTTATAGTTAAAACTAGAGTGCGGTCACCTGAGCAAAAACCACCGAATTTCAAACTCCAGAACAGAAACTAATGACAAAATCATCATTGAAAGCCTTTGTCCGACCTCAAGCGGACGGTCGAGCGGAGGACATGTCAGCATGTCCCCCAACCATCCTCTCAGCTTTTTCTCCTCTCTCACCTGAAAAAGAATCTTCCTATTCATGCACAGACAAGAAGAGAAATGCAGAAAGAAATAGACATATTTAACAGACAGTAAATGGAACTTCTATATGTATCCTACTCTCACCTGTGCGGACTCTTATTATGTCTGCTACGGGGGTCACTGCATAATAATAGAACCATTATTTACTTTTACCATAATAAACACTAAACAAAATAATAAAAAGAAAAATTAGTGAGCAAAAGACGGCTATAAAAATTTAACTCGTGATCGAAAAAGAATAGTGAAAAATGTAATCTTACGGAAAATCTTGCCATCTCCGATCTCTCCAGTCCTTGCCTCGTGTATTATCTTATCAATAACTTCTTCAACCTAAGCCAACATAAGCCGAAGTTAACAACTCTGTACCGAGTTCAGTGGCTTTTAAAAGAACGGGTAGAAATTGAGTGATATTATAATTTGAATTATACGTAATGACTGCTTCCAATTCCTATACCTGATGTTTGCTCACAACAATTTCCATCTTAACCTTTACAACAAAATTGTCCTCAGAAAATTCAGAGCCTGAAGAAAGAAAAATATTTGATGCAGGAATAAATTCAAGGCACTTTTGGGGAGAAAACACAATAACAGAATCCAGTTGTATAATATGAACTATGCCTGCTTGTCTTTCTGGTGAGCCACCTTGAGCACCAAATCCTCGTACATCAGACACGGTAACCCCACGGATTCCCATTTTAAGCAAAGCCTTCGTTATAAACCAATAATATTTTTGGAAAACAAATAAGTCTTTCTTCCAGTTTATAAGAAAAGAAAGAAAAAATACGACAAAAATAAATCACCAACAACAGAAACCTCAAGTGGAAAAGGGTATACAAGATTCAAGGATAATAATAGCAATTCTTAATTGTTATGCTTCAAAGAAAAGAACACCAACTTGCATGTTGCTTACAAATTTAAAGCTTTGGCTAAATGTGACCATTTTTTCCTGGGAATTCAAAAAGAAAGCTAATATTCACACGACATTTCCAGTCAGATGCAATATATTAAATGGAATGCCAGCAAGTACGATATCATGATGAATGTAATTTTAACATATTCTCTGTGATTATGATATTCCTTCAGAACTATTTAGTGGATAACATTAGTATATTATTAGGTAAGTTAAGTTTCTTATTGCTCATGAAGGAAAACTATAACTCATCACGTGAGCCAACAATCGGAAGAACAAAATCCAATAATGGCTTAGCGATTGAGGACAACTTGCAGCCAAACAAAGTTGATGAAGCCGTATAAGTGGAGCATTAAATAAACTTTAAATAAATGGTCTAATTGAGAAGTGTTGTTACCACTAACAAGGAGGTACATAAAAATGAAGAAAACATAAGTGTTAGGATTTGAAGAAAGAAATGGGGAAAGAGCCATTAGATATTAAGCATATAATCAACATTGAGTTGGAATAATGCACTAGGCCTTACCGATGAAACCTGTGGGATCCTCCATGGCCTAAGTTCCCCGTAATTAGCAACCAAAAAAAAAAAAAAAAAACAGCACTATTAGAGTGAGAAAATCATCGCTGAAAAGCAGAAACGAGAAACAATTCAACAAACCCATTAAAAATGAAAGTAAGAACACGTCAATTACACCTTAAAATGGCTTCAACCTTGTAGAAATTGGCCTCAGGTACGTAATCTACCACGTCAAAACACTTGATAAGAAATTTCGTGAGTTTTAACAGAGACTCATCTCCATCGCGATGAATACCAGCTTGATAAACGTTATATAAAAGAAACAACTATCAATGGGGTGTCGTGTTCGAACCTGTCGAGCCCTGAGCTCTGATAACCGGAAGGGACGATCCATTTGCAGAGCGATTAAGGACGAAACTGGGCGGCGAAGGGCGGAATCCTGTCGGGCGCGGCGCGAATGAAATGGCGGCGAATTTAGGGGAATTTGAGGGGCGGGGCAGCGGCGCGTTGGCGGAGTAGGTTAATTTGGCAATCGCGGCGGAGGCCATTGGTGAGGATCTGTGGCTGTGAAGGTGATGGTAAAGGTTGTGAGATGAACATTTGAAGAAATAAA